CATAAAGCAATAGATTCAGTACAGAAGTAGGGATGAGGACCCAGCTGTCTTTTATTAAGCAAGACGTTAAAGAAGTTTGCAAAAGTATCAAGAAATGTCCCTCTTCTTAGTTTTTTGGGGAGGTGGAATACTGTGGTTATTTTTCATGAAGATTTTATTAACATTAGCATGTAATGACTTCATTATTATTACACTTAGTGAATTACTAAATGCTCTTTTAATTTCTTAGTTTTAATTTCTAAAGTCGTATAATAAACATGACCTACATAAATTTTTAAGTTTTTAAATATCATATTTATCATAGTATTTGTATGACCTCTTGACATTATTAAAACATGTTTAAAATATTTAAACATTTTTTTAGCTTCAGTTTCCAAAATAGTTGGTACAATAAATGTAGCCCTCATAAAGGAAAAGCTTTTTGGCGTCCTCACAATTTTTGCAAAGAGACCCCCTGACCCAGAAGTTGGAACAAATAACTGGAAAGGTCATTTGGCAGGGTCTCTGGTCCTTTTCCTCTGAATCTCAGGGTCCTTCCCTGTCGCCCCCATTTGTGCTTCCCATGCTAGTAGGAGGGACAGGGAGTCAGCAGTGGTGAAGAGGGAGAGAACTGAGGCAGAGGTAGCAAGCCTTGGGGCAAACACAGCCAGAGGACCTGGCCGGGGAGCAGATGCTACAGGAGGTGCTGGGGGCCCAGGGTGACAGAGGCTCCCCGCAGACCCCCTCTCTGATGTGCCCGTAGTCACCACTGATCACTGCCTCTCAGTGTAAGTTCTTACTTCCATTACTCTTCACAAGAAAAGATTTAACATTTTCCTTTTACTTTTAGTCAGTTTAACCCCGACTAGATATATATTTTTTAATTCTAGTGATTTTAACCTCTGATCCTCACATTGCCGAGCTTCCCACGGAGCTTTGGTGTCTGCTGACGCACTTCACACTTGCCGTCGGGCCTCCTGGTCAGTCCAGCAGCCTTCGTTTGTCCTCAGATGTTTGTCAGTCGCCTCTTAGTTACACACATTGTCTTTGTCACCAGTCGGTGAGTCATTAGCAAGAGGTACACTGGAGAGAAAAAGGGAAGGTTTGGAGCTGAAAGGACCAGTGATCATGTAGAGAAAATCAGTTGGGAGGTGACCATGGCAGCATCGGTGTGACACCACTAGTGACTGTCTCGGCTGAAATGCCTTGTGTAACTATGCTGCTTTGTTAAAAGTGATAAGGAAAGGAGCATTTCTGATCTCACTGCCCCTGTCAACACAAACAGGGAACACTGTACTTCTCTGAATATCTTATTCGTCAAGTGAAACTAGAAATACCAGTGGACGGGAACAGAGTGAATTCTTTATTCCTATCCTTTAGGCTAGTGACCTTCTTTTCTGAATACAACTACTCACACTGCATGTTATTTTAAAGACAGCTATTTGAGAATATTCCAGGTACATGGTCTAGTTAGCTGCTTATTTAATGGAAAATACTAGAATTGACAAAGGCTGGTATAGTGGACTGTTTTTTGAACATTCTAAACATACATAAGCAGTGCTAGGCAGATTGTGGTGATTGGAAAGGGCCTTTTTCCGTGGGAAACTGGTTGCGACAATTTAGCAGGAATTAGGGCCCCGAAAGTTTCGTATGGTCCTTTGATAATTGCCCCGTCGCAGTAATGCATCAATTTTTTTCTTCCCACTACTGGTACCTATATAATGTCTAATTCTTATTTACGTACTATAGGGCAAGGGGGAGAAGGCAGCTTAGCAAGCTGACCTGATTAGAGAGAGTGTGTGTGTAAAAGAGAGGGAATGGGGAGAGAGGTGACAAAAAATAAAAATGATTATTGATTACGACCAGTGAGAGATTTGAAGGGCAATGGCTTTATTTGCACTTCTTTCTGATTTTGAAGAAAAATAGCTAAGTATTTGATACACCATAATTTTGGCCAATTTTAGGTACTCCATATGTTCCAAAATATTAAAAACAAAAGTCTGTTATGGGAAAGAATTCTGTTATGACGCCATTCCTTATAAAACTTACTGGTGTTTAACCAACAGCCATCTACAATGAGCCATCCCAGTATTTGGTGACTTTTTTTCTGCAAAGTTTTATAGTAGAGATGATTTTGGTGAAAACTGAGTTACCCTAAGTGACCTGTTCCATCTCCTCTGTTTTCCTAACATTCTTTTTAGACTTACTACTAAGAGGATCTAATTGGAAAGTATATTTAAAATAACTTTATTTAGTTACTGGGAAATCTGCGTATAATTTCTAGCAGTCACATGTTTCACTGGCTGTGCCCAAGCTGCCAGCCTGGGCATGATGATGTTTTCATGGGTGTGAAGTCCCTTCCCACGTCCGTTCCGTCCTGGACGGTGCGATGCAGATTCATTCAGGAGAGTGGCTCTTGGCATCTCTTCTGGAAGAAAGGGTCACCTGGTGCCCTATTGACTGTGTCTTTGCTTGGATCTGCCATCACACCAACAAGTCCTTAAAAACCGTAGGCAGTGACAAACCAGCACTGAAGTTTCTTTTTCCCTTTGCAGGCTTCTGGCTGTGATGGGTCGGAGATTCCTGACGAAGTGAAGCTGATTGGGTTTGCTCAACTGAGTGTCAGCTGATGTAGGTCCCCTGCTGTCACCCCATCTGTCGTGCCCCACCCCTGTCCCCTCAACTCTCCCTCTCCCTGCCCACTTCCTCCCACCCCCTCACTCCCAGTTCCCAGCAAAATCAGAAGATTGTGAAGAGGCCGGCTTCGACAAAATGGGATAAAAAATAATTTTCTAAAACTTACAACACTCCGAGTTCTGCTTTATTCCCTAGCAATCCACAGTATGAGAACAAGCGAATGCCACAGCTGCACGAGTGTTGCTCATTCTTCCAAAAGCTGTTTGATATTCTTAGCAACCAATTCGGATATCCCTTAAGTGAAAAGGATCTGAAATACACTCAGGTGGTCCTATTTATTGGCAACAAAAGGAATTTTCTATCGGAAGCCTATTTCTTTTTCCATTGTTGTTTCTGTTATAATACTTTAATTGTACATCTGACAATACTGCCTCTTTTATGTTGTATTTAGAAATTAATATACTTAACAAAATTAAGATTTATTAGCCAAACTTGAATTCTAGTTTTAAAACTGACTGTGAATTTTATTTTTCATATATTTATGCATTACACACATTAGCTATAAGAAAAGTTTTTGATTATATGCTTCTTGCAGTTAATCTCCTGTTATTTAAACAAAAAGTTTCGAGTCTATCTTTGGAGTATTTGTAACTTCTAATTTTTGAAATGACTGAATTAGGAACTTGGATGCTTCTCCTTTTGGTTTGTTTGCCTGAAAACCAATTCACAATCTGATTATCTCTTGGGAGAGGGAGGTGCCTTGCAAACTTTCATATTAAGAATGTGCCTGAGGCTGCTTTACTCTGGAATAGTCTCAGATCTAAAATTTCTTCTACACAAAGTGGCATATGCTAAGTTTTGCCTCATTGGAACATTTAGAATGCTATATAAAACGTTGCCATTCTGTTAGATTGCTAACTATATACCCATCTCTGATTTGGTTCTTCTTAAGTGATAGGATTTGTTATTCTAAAGATGATAAACTTGAAAATACCAGAATCTGAGTTTTACTTGAAATTCTGCAGAATACCCAGGTGGAGCGAAAATCATAGAAAGGGTTTTGTGCAATGACTAGAAGGTAAAGCGCTATGAAGTTTCAAGAATAAATATTTTCAACCCGAGTAGCCCTCTGCTTGACGATACGTTACGGAACTAGTAAATCTTAGGATTTTCAAAATTGGAGTCTAAACTTTCAGGGAGGTGGGCTCCTGGGATGGTACCATTGCTCTTTTCCTAGCTAATCCTAGATACGGCAGCTCTTTAATGTACTTTAAAAAGCAAATATATATTACTAAGGAAAAAAAAAAGTTATTTATAATTGCCTTGTCATAATTGTTAAGGTGTTCTAGAGCCGTTTGCATACAATTTAATGTAATTTCATTCCATTCTATTGTTTACACAACGATTACTCAAAGATGACTGCAGAGGTAAAAGGAAAATAAAAGCGTATTGCACAACGAGATGGCCTCACGTGTCTCTTCCCTCCAGGGGGTGTTATCTGCATCGCTGCAGTGCCACTTAGCACTTTCATGCCATGCCTGGTAAGAATTAACCAGTGGACGGTGCCCTAGAGGAAGAGTAAAGCTTCCACCCTGTCTGAGAGAATCGGGTTAGACAAGTCACTTGAATGAGCTTGAGGGAGGGAATGAAAGGCAAACATTCACACTCCATGTAGACAGACTGTCTTTGGATTAAAACCACAAGGCCAGAAGGGGCAAGAGAGAGGAACTTCTTCCAACCATGTCATTCACATTAGTGCTCTGGCCACTGAGGCTCCGAGTGGTCACACGACCTGTCCAAGGCCCTTCACACAGGGACTTGCAGAGCTAAACTCCCAGGGTCCTAGTTTCCTGGCATCCAGAGCATATTTTTAATACTCTTCTGTACTACTTGTGGGTAAACACAGTACAAGACAAGGCTCTTCTACTCAGAGAGTACAAGATACATAAATAACTAGAGAGCTTTGCAACATGGTAATATCAATATCTATTTCATTTCTACCAATATATTCAGTTTTCTTCCTAATGGCATTTAAGATAGCTTGCATACATTCATGTAATAGAGCTTCTAAAATATGTGAAGAAATTAGGATGAAGGGACAATGAAAGTTGGCTAACAAGATGAATGCAAGGATATAATTAGTACATAAAACTTCACCATGATGTCCTGTATAATTGCTGGAAGGATGCACCAATTTGCATTAGAACATCTTATCTCCTGTGCCCCCTTACTACTCAGCTCCACAAAGCAATCTGCAAATTCAACATAATATCTAAATTCCAAAATTCTTTATACATAGAAACAGAAAAATCTGTCTTAACATTTGTATGGAACCACAAAATAGCCTCAAAAGCCAAAGCAATCTTGAACAAGAAGAGCAAAGCTGGAGGCATCACATTTCTTGATAGAAAATAGGCAAAAGAGTTGAAAGTTTTCCAAGGAAGACCTAAAGATGACCAGTAAGTACATGCAAAGCTGCTCAACATCACCACTCATCAGGCAGGTGCAAATCAAACCACAATGAGATGGCACCTCACACCTATTAGGGTGGATGTTACCAAACAGACAAAAGATAAGGGCTGTCAAGGATGTGGAGAAAAGAAAACGGGTATACTTGTTGATAGGAATGTTCATTGGTATAGCCATATGGAATACTGAGTGAAGATTCCTCAGAAATCAAAAATAAAACTACCATATGATCCAACCCTCCCACTCTGGATATATACCCAATGGAAATGACATCAGTACCTCGAAGAGATAACTGCATTCCCACATTTACTACGGCAGCATTCACAATACTATTCAGCCATGCAAAAGAAAGAAATCACACCACTTGTGACAACTTGAAGGACATTATGTTGAGTGAAATAAGCCAGACACAGAAGAAATGTGTGATTTCACATATGGACATTCATAAAAGCAGAAAGAAAATTAGAGACAGAGGGGAAGGAGAAATGGAGAGATCTTTGCTAAAGGATACAAAGTTTTGTGTAGAAATGGAGAGGTGTTTGTTAGAGGATACAAAAGCTTCAGTTACACAGGATGAGTAAGTTCTAAAGATGTAATATGTAGCAAGGGGACTGTAGTTAATATTGAATACTTGAAATTTGCTAAGAGTACATCTTCAGTGTTCTCTGTGCACACACAGATACAGCTGTGAAGAGATGCATATGTTAATTAGCTTGACTATAGTTTACTGTGTGTGTGAAAACATCATGTTGCATCCCATAAAAATATGTCATTTTTTATTTTAAAAAGTAAAATGTTAGAGAAACATTTTTCTCTGATACCAAAGTTAGACCTAAAATTCTGTGAGGAAACAGAAGTTAGGTATTCAGAAATGTTAAAATTCACAAAATGATAGGCTTGATCCCACCAGTCACCCTCCCTCCACCCAGCCTCCCTCCTCCCCTCCCTACCCTTTCCCCTTTCCCCATATTCTTGGTCTAAAATTGGGTTATAGTTTTCCTATGGTAGCTATAAATTAGTTTCATACTAGGGTTGAATGCATTGGGTACTTTTTCTTCCATTCTTGAGATACTTTGTTAGAAGAATATTTTCCAGCTCCATCCATGTAAACATGAAGGAGGCAAAGTCTCCATCTTTCCTTATGGCTGTGTAGTATTCTGTGGTGTACATATACCACAATTTATTGATCCATTCATGGGTCAATGGGCACTTGGGCTTCTTCCATGACTCAGCAATTATAAATTAGGCTGCAATGAACATTCTGGTACAAATATCTGTATTGTAGCATGATTTTTGTTCTTCTGGATGTATACCTAGCAGAGGAATTATAGGATCAAATATGTGTGAATCCTTCTAAATGTGGAAAATAAATGTCTTAACACAACAACTAAGAAAATGACATGAAGGCTATGCTAACCAATTGGATGAAAGTATTTCAAATTGTGTATAGAAACAACACACTGTATCCCATGAGAGTATTAATGTACACAGCTATGATTCATTAAAAAATTAAAAAAAATTTTTTTTAATTCACAAAATGTTCATAAAATACATGGCAAGTTTTGGACAATTTTGTTGGGTCGTACTTTCAATAAGGGCCAGAGTTAGGCTTCATGCTTAGAAGTAGAGGTGAGGAAGGAGTTCAAAGAGTGTGGTCCAAGCAGCGACTCTCCGTCTCTTGGCCTGGAAAGATGCAATAATCAAAGTGAAAAGTTTAAAGGTATGAGAAGACTACATACCCTCTATGACTATTTTTCTTAGCCAGGCTTTTGATTAAAGATGACATGCAGCAATCCAGTATCAGGATTCTGTTCACTGGGAAGGACCCTAAACTTTCCTAAAGGCACATATGTGGTATTATTTATCTGGACAGATTGATGTGCTTGGTCAAACAGGAGGGTTCTCAACCTCTTTGTAAAATTGAGATACCCATATGTCATGCCTAAATATGTACAGAAACTGTCCTCTGTCCCACATGCCTGGACTGTGTGGTCAACTTGAAAATAGGTCAAGAAGAAAGAAGTTCTCCTTCTCTCATTTTAACTCAATATACTGTTCTTATGTGAGCAAAATGGTTTTTAGTATTTAAAAAACTTTACAGAGTTTAAAATCAACTTTCTACCTATAAATCATACGTGGTGAAAGTTCTTAATTTTTTCCCCACAAAATTCCCTTTGTAAAGTGGGAAAGTTCCCTGCGTGTTATCTCTTACGTGCTGCCAGTATAGGAGATGACTGCCTCATTTCCATGACCTAGTAGGATGATGTAGTAGCCTGTAAGGTCAGAGCCAAGAATGTTCTAAAAGAACAAATCTAGTCCCACGTATATGACATAATTTTCCCATGATCTTCCTGTGGAAAAATTTCACATCCATTTATCTACTCCTTTCCATAATTCACTGATGGTCTGTTTGGTACTAAGTCATACACCTTCCTGGTGAACCGTCCAAGTTAAATCAGTAATCAGAATATACCCTTAAGTAATTAAATCATGTTTGTACAGAGATGGTGAGTATGAGCCAACTAACATTGGAGGACTTCTTCCAAAAACTGTCATTTATATTTGATAGTAAATGATCTTAGGTTTTCTTATTTCTTGGCAGTATATTTGATAAGAGAAGCTGTTGCTTAGAGAGGCCCATTTGGTTTATGATAGTCAAATCAGATCAACATAAGAAAGGGTTTATCCGTGCTCTAGAG